TGTTTAAACTGCAATCATTCATTCACAGCAATGTTGTTTACCATCATCTCCTTATCATCTTCGTCATCATCATCATCATCATCATCATCATCATCATCATCATCATCATCATCATCATCATCATCACTGCATCACAGTCATAATGATCATCAGCATCATCAATACCACCACCACCACCACCACCATGTGTGAAGTTTCACGTTTTTTAAGTTATCTAAATTATTCTCATGATCTAAGTAATACATTAGTTTATACCTCTTTTTCTGCTTCACTCAGTGCTTGTGTCAATGTTTCTTTAGAGGCTTCCAAATGTTCGTTGTTGCCCTCTGTCTCCCCAGATTTCACCTCCTTGCTCCACTCCAGCTGCTGGGTGACTTCACCAAGATGATGCCGCAACTCACGTTCCACGTCCCCTGCCGCGGCGTACTTGGCCTCAAGGTTGGCCACTTCCTGTTTGCTTTGCTTCAAACTCTCTTCCTTTACAAAGATTTCTTCATCTTTCTGCTTCAAGCTGTACTTCAACTCCTCGCACTGAGATTCAAGTTCTCTTATTTTGCTTTGAAAGTCTGTTTTCTGGTTTGTCGCAGAAGAAACCCGTTTCTCAGTTTGTCGCAACGCTTCTAGATAATCCCTTTCTTTGACGCTTACTTCATTTTTCATCTCATCCAGTTTTCTCTTCAACTGAGCATTCTCCTCAGCAAAAATTGACGACTGTTCACTCTCCGAGCCATTCTTCGCCACTGATAGCAACTTAACTCGTTCTTTTTCCCACTGTTCTTCTTGTTCTTGAAATGCGCGCATCATGACCTCGGTATTTGACTTTTCACGTGACAGTAAATGCTCCAACTCTAGAACTTGTTCTTGCAGATTACTGGTCCCATTTGCGTTCTGCTGGCAGCGTTCATGCTCTGCCTGAACGGAGTTAAGTTCTTCCGTGAGTGAGCGCAATTGGTTCTTGAGAGCTTCTAACTTCTCAGTCTGATCGTTAAGATTGTTTTGAAGCTTTTCAACTTGAGAACATCTTGCATTGAGCAGGTTTTGCAGTTTTTCCAGCTCTTTATCTTTCTAAGAATAAACCATACAACTTTGTTTCTGAGTGGATGTGCTATATGTAAAATTCGTTCTAAGTTTTAATCAGTATTCAACATAGTTTGATTCTCAATATTTCAGTTGTTACCTTGCCCCTAACTCGTCCCTAGTCGTCTCTCAGTCTCCTCTTACTAGTAGAGACCTTCAGATTCTCAGACGAGCGCGACTTTCTCAGTACTAAGTAGTGCGCGCGCGTGAACCAGCGTCATTTTGGCGGGAAAACGTGATTGATCGACACTCCTTTTCGTTTTCCTCCTTCCCATCACTCCTCGCGCTCCCCTCGGTTACGCGTGCGATCCAAATAGAGACGACTGGGGCGAGCTAGACCTTGCCTTATTTTTTATGGTAGACAAAGAAAATTCTGGTTTACCTTGATAAAAGAATTCTAACTACAACATATGCACCTGAAAGAATGGCTTGAACCAAAATTAGTATTCAATCAGAGAATGTTGGAATCTATTTGCGTCAAGCTGAAACAGTCAAATCTATGGTTAAAAAGAGGCTGGTTGAATTTTTTAATTTTTGTTTTTTTAATTTTTATCTCATGGAACACTTAGGGTAACTAATCAAGGAAAATTTCCTGACTTTCTCTGAACTCAAAACAATTTTCACGGACATCACATTTACCCCTTTTCAGCTTTCTTGCAGATTGCTAATATTCTTTTGCTTATTTCTGTCTGTTCAATGTTTTCAGAGATTTGGAGAACGAAAATCGATCAACTACATTGTTTTTTCTTTTTTTGGATGAAACGTGTTTTTATATAAATTTTGTTCGAAACCCTGGGGTAACCTGAAAAAATGTCCTCTGACCTATTATATTACTGACTAAAAGGACTTGAGATTTTTACCTGACTGTTTTCCTTATCGTGGCTGTCCTTCTACTTAACAGCAAACTTAAGAGAGACGATCTATTGTCAAGGACACAAATAGACAAAACAACTTCTCACCTGTTCTTGAACGCCCTCAATATCTGTCATCTGTTCAGCTGCATGGCTCTTTGTCATCTCTAGTTCATCTTTAATATTTTGAATTTCTTCACAAAGCCTTGCTTTTTCACTTGACATGTCTTCTAATTTACTGCTCTGCAGAGCTAATCTATCCTCCAGGTTCTCCTTTTCTTGCTTGAGTTTTTCACACACATTCTCCAGCTCCAAATTCTTATTGTTCAACTGGATCAATTCAGCAGTCTTTTCCTCAAGCGATGACGATAATGAACGCCTCTCCAACAGCGTTTCGTCAATTCTTTCCTCCATCTCTTTTGCTTTTGTCTCCCGCGAATCAAGCTCTTTTTGAAGTTTCTCCAACTTTTCCATAGCGAGATTCTCTTGGTCTCTCATTGCATCCATCATTTGCTTAAGCTCTAAATCTTTTTCTGTCATAGCAGATGTTTGCTGTTCTTGCAAGCAATTTGCAGTGTTCTTCAGTCGATTTGTCTCATCCTTCGCGTTTTCTAACTCACACTTAAGCTCAGCCCTGCTTACTTCTAAAGATTGAACTTGTTCTTTCAGAAGACTGATCATCTTCTCAGTTTCTTCATCACTTCTCATCATTAATACCCTTTCATTTTTCTCATTGGCAAAGGTATTTGACTTTTCTGTGGCTATACCAAGTTCTTCTTGAGTGCGTGTCAATATTTCTTCAAGCTCGCGCTTCTCTGATTCGACAACCCTTGCCGTGGCGTCGCTACTTTCTAGTTGGCTAGTAAGTTTTGAAATCTTTGCTTCACTCGAGGAAACCTCCTGTTGCAATTCTTTGACTTTAGCCTCATGCTCTTCATTTTTCGCATCTATCTTTTCCAAGAAGTCGCTCTTCTCTAACCTCGCTTGTTGCAACTCCTCTTTGAAATCCCTCAGCTCACTTTCAGCTCGAGAGAGCTGGTGGCGCGCGTCTTGAAGATGCTTCTGTGAATCGTCTAACTTGTCAACCACGTCTCTGTATTCTTGAGCCTTACAATCTGCAAGTTCACACGCCTTTTTGCATTCCTGCTGGTGAACTTTACATTCGTGTCTCAAAGCTTCCATAGTTGCTTGACAATCTCTGGTCTTTTCAAGAAGTGATGTTTTTTCTTCTTCGAGATCCTTGCAGGCTTTCAACAACTCATCTTCTCTCCCCTGCATTTTCTCACTGAAGGCTTCGTAAGACTTTTCCATCTTCAATTTTTCCTGGTCTTTGGAAGATGAGACATTCTCAAGATGTACAACCATATCTTTTAGCCGCAAGACCTCTTCTTTGCTTTTCTGAAGCTGTTCAGTTGCCGAGACACATTTTTCAGATTTCTCTCGAAACTTTCTGCTCCATTCAAGGACAACAGACTCTCTTTCTCTATCGACCTGCATAATGCTTTCCCCGATTTTGATCTCAGCATTTTTCAACTGTGTTTCTAGCTTCATTTTCTCACTCTCTGCAACATTAAGCGTCTTTTCTTTGTCGTCAAGTTGTTTCGTTAGTTTTGACACTTTATCTTCGTTTGCCAACTTACTCTCTCTCAGATCTGCAATTTCACTTTCTTTCTCCCCAAGTGCTGCAATAACACTGTTCATTTTTGATTGCACATTGACAAGGTCTGCTGACAAGGACCCACTTTTATCCGTCTCCTTCAACAACTGAGCTTCCAAAACCTGGATGTTTTGCTGTAGTTCATCAACACAACTTTCCTTCTTTTCCTCCGTTGACAGACTCTCAGTGAGACGACTATTGACATTTTCAAGCTCTTTTTTCAGGAATTCATTTTGTTCCTCTTTGACGACAAGTTTTTGCTTTTGCTCTGACACAACCACCTCCATCTTTTCCACTTTTTCGTTCAGTAACTGAATGTTTCTTCCTGACTTTTCCTCGTTCGACAAGCTCTCATCTAGTTGGCTACTCAGATCTTCGAGTTCTTTTCTCAAAGAATTGTTTCTTTCCTCTACATCCCCAATTTTCTTCCTCAGTTCCAATACCACCAATCCTTGCTCCTCAAATTGCTTGTTCAGCGCCTCGATAGACGAATTCTTCTCTTCCAGATCCATTTGTAACATTTCTTTCTGTACCGACAGCTGTTGCAAATCTTCATCCAGCTTGTTGAGAGCTTTTTTCGCGTCTTCGAGCTGTTGATCTTTGTTTGCAAGCTTGCTCCTAAGCTCTTGCTCTGTGAACGCTTTGTTCTTCAATTCAACTTCCCTTTTCGCTAAATCTTCTTTCAACGAGGAGACTTCCACTGTAGCAGTGCTCTCAGATGTCTCCACGATGGAACGCAAGTCCTTCAACTCTGACTCCTTACTTTCGACGCATGCTTCCAAATGACCACACTTTTCTCGCAACTCCGAAACTTGCTTCTTGAGCTCCTTAGTTTGTTCATTTAGTTCAGTAATCTCCCTATCATTAACTGATTCCAACTCTTTAATAGCGCAGCGCTTTTGGCCTAGCTCGTCCTGGTTGATTCTCAATATCTCTGAGAGCTGTTCTAACTTGTTTGCTAAATCAGTGTTCTTCTCCTGCAAAGTTTTATTTAAGCTGTTAAGTTCATCCACTTTACCCTCAAATCCTGCCTTTTCTTCTGCCGTAGACTTAAGTTCTTGAATCAGTGCAGTTATCTCTTGATCCTTTGTCTCAACAACCGCCGCGAGTTTTTCCAGTTTTTCCGTCAGCGACGACACTTGTTCTTTAAGGCTTTCTGATTGCAAGCAGACCCTCTCCGACTCCTCACGCTGGAAGTTTCTAGTTGTTTCAAATGACTCTGATAATTCTTTAAATTCCTTTTCTTTGCTCTCAAGAGCTGCTGAAGTCTGTTCCAGTCTCGCCAGCAAAGAATCATTTTCCTCTTTTCCCCTGTTTACCTGGTCATTGGTTTTCGCAAGCAAGTCTTGAATTACGCAATGTTCGTCTTCGAACCGTCCTAGCTTAGCTTCCGTTTCAATGACAGCATCTTGTGTACTCTGAACAATAGTTTCCAGATGTATACATTTTTCTTGTAGTGACGCAATTTCCTTCTCTTTCAATGCGATTTCTTCCTCCAGTTCAGCCTCTCTCTCATCGTTCTCTTTCTGAAGAATCTCATCAAGAAATTGACATTTCTCTGCCAGCTCTTCATCTTTACGTTTCAAAATGTCTGACAACTGTTCAATCTTCACAGCCATTTCATCTCTCTTTTGTTCCAAATCCTTACAATGCATACTCATTTCATCTACCTTAGATAGAAGTCCATCCTTCTCTTTGCATACAGCTTCCAAGTGCTCCTGCGCTGATTCTGTAGCTTGATCTTTGACTTCGACAAAAGCACTGAGTTTCTCCAGTTGTTCTTTCGCCACCAAAACTTCACCTTTAAGCCGCTCTATTTCACTTTCGTAACTCTTTGTCAACTCAAGTGTTTTGTGCTTTTCCTCCTCCAAACTTTTACACAATTCTGTGACTTTCCGTCCCCTTTCTTCAAGAACAGCTTCTTGCTTTTCAAACTTCTGCTTCACATCTTCAATTTGACTTTCCAACAACACGTTCTTCTCGCAAAGTTCCCCAACCTGTGCACTCAGCCTTGTATTGTCTTCCTGTGCTGTTTTAAGTAACGTAGTCATTCTTTCGACATCTTGATCTTTCATTTCACTGGCGACACTGACTCGATCAAACTTTTCGGTCAAAGATGTGAATTCCTCTTTCAAATGTTCTACTTCTTTCAGTTTCAATTCAAATGATGACTGCCCATTTGTTTTCAGCTCCTTGAAACAATCCGCCATGTCTTCAAGCTCCTTTTCTTTATTTTCAAGGGCTGTTGTTTTATACTGAAGATTTTCCGCCAGCACCATCTTTTCTTTCTCGGTTTCTTCAATCAGACCCATCTTAGACGTAAGATCATCCTGAAGTTTCCTTATCTCAGCATTTAGTTCTTGAATCTTTGCTTGGGCACTGCTGATCTCACCCTCTTTGCTCAGAGTACAAGCATCTAACAGGGCACACTTCTCTTCCAATACAGACACCTGGTTTTCTAGAACACTACATTGCTCCTTTAACTTTTCCATGCCCTCCCCACTTGCTTTTTCAAGATTCTCGATGTTTGCACGTTGGGTTAAAACCTCTTCATCTTTCGTCTTAATGACTTCTGATGCTTGTGTCAATCTATTCTGAAGATCTGCAATCTGTTCTTCACAAACGCAATTCTTCTCACGCAGTTCTTCAAACCGTTTACCGAGCTTCGCCTTCTCTTCTTCTGCGGTTTGAAGTAATTCAGTCATACTTTCAACATCCTGGTCTTTCATTTCACTCGCTACACTGACTTGGTCCAACTTCTCTGACAAAGAGGCAACTTGTTTCTTCAAATTTTCGACTTCGGCAAGTGCTTCCTCGAGTGACGACTGCCCACTGTTTTTCAGCTCCACCAAACTATCTGACACCTCTTTCAACTCTTGGTCTTTGTTCTCTAATGCTGTTGTTTTATATTGAAGATTTTCCGCTAGGACTTCTTTTTCTTTTTCAACGCCTTCGATCAGCTCAACCTTTGAAGCAAGATCATCTTGAAGCTTTCGGACCTCAGCATTCAGTTCTTGAATCTTGATCTTAGCATCACTAATCTCACCATCTTTGTTTTGAGAACAAGCCTCTAACTTTGTACTTTTCTCCTGCGATGCTGCGAGTTCGTTTTCCAGTAATGAACACTGTTCTTTCATCTTGACCATCTCATCATCGGCAGATGTTTCAAGGTTCTTTATGACTGTACACTTACTCGACAGCTCTTCATCTTTGGCTTTTATCACCTTTGACATTTGATCCAGCTGCGTTGCTTTCTCTGTAAGTTGGTCTTCCAGTTTAAAATTAGTATTGCAAAGTTCATCAAGCATAGAGCTTAACTCAGACTTCTCTCCTTCCGCGGCATCTAAAAGCTCCTTTGTTGTTTTCAACTCTTCTGTTTTGCTTTCTGCCACGGAATTTGCTTGTTCAAATTTTTCTCTTACGCTTGCGACCTCACTCCTTAATTCCTGCAGTTCGAGATCTTTAGTTCCATGAACTGACTGATGCTCAGCTTCAAGATTTTTCAGTTTCTCGCACGTTTCTTCTAACTCTAGTTTTCGAGCTTTCAGAACCGCAGATGTTTGCTCGAGATCGCTAGCCAACTTTTCATTTTCTTGCTTACTCTTGCTAGCAATTTGCTCCTGTGTTTCGAGACTTTGCTGTAGTGACCCAACTTCCTCACTCAACTTAGTCACCTCTTGACTGACAGCTGCCAATTCTGATTCTTTGTTACTAAGCAACGTCTCCAGGTTTTCCGCTTTCTCTTGTAAGAACACAAACTCATTCCTTGTGGCATTGCACTGCTCATTCATTTCAGCAAGTTTCTTATCAGTGACACCTCTAATCTCATCAACATCCTTCACTAACGAACTGATTTCATCATCTTTGTTCTTGATAAGTTTCAGATTTTCCTCTCGTTGCATTTCAAGAGAGCTGCACGTTTGCTCAAGTTTGTTAAGAGTCGACGAAGCCTCTGTAAGTTTTCCTTGCGCCTCGCACAACGCCCTTTCCTTGGATTCCAACTCAGCAGAGACTTCCTTAACGCAAGCTTCTTTCTGCTGTACAATTTCCTTGCTGTTTGTTAACTTCTCCTGTAGACATTGCACAGAATTCTCCAAATTCTCGCATTGTAATTGAATAGTTTCCAACTTTGCTGCTAAATCTTTCGCCTCCTTTTCTTTCTCTGCGTATTCTGCCTTAGCTGTATCAAGCTTCATGTTCATAGACTCAACTACTTCCTTTAACTTCTCCACTTCTGTTTTGCGATCTGCGCACAACTGGTTAAGTTCAGCGTTCTTTTTCTCTGCCTCTTCCTCTTTGGTGCGCTGCTCCTTTAACAATTCTTCCTTTTCTCGGTTCAGAATGTTCATAGCATTTTCTTTCTCTTTAAGAACTGCTTCAGTTCGAGTCACTCTTTGTTGTAGTTCATACACGTGCTTCTGCGAGGATTCCAACTTATCAATCACATCGGTTGCCTCCGCAGATTTCATATCCGCCAGCTCACAAGCTTTCTTGTAGTCGTGCTGCATTGCTTTGGAATCGTTCTTCATGGCTTCAAGAGCACTCTGTAGAGATCTTTCTTTGTTGGCCATTGCAGCCTTTTCCTTCTCCCATGCCTCATCTTTTTTGGTCAGTTCTAGCTCTACGGCCCCCAACTTCTCACACAAAGTCTGACGAGATTCCTCGGCCAACTTACTCTGCTTTTCCTTGTCATTAATGACATTCTCCAAGTGTACCGTCCTTTCTTTTAGCTTGGACACTTCTTGTTTTTCCAACTGAAGTTCCTTCACAGTCGCACCAGCTTCTTCCGATACTCTCGCTAGTTCCTTCCGGTGTTCACCTTCCAACTCAGCTTTCTCGCGTTGTAACAAAGCAACGTTTTCGAGTGCTGACGTCAGCCTCTTTTTATCTTCACTCTGGGAATCTTGCATTTCTTTTCCCTTTAAACTCAAATCTCTTTCTTTCTCTTGAACAGTGTGACTCAGCTGCTCTATACGTTTATTCAATTCAGCAACTTTATTTTCCTTTTCTGTTAGAGCTGTTTTCGCTCCCTCAAATTCCCTCTTTACCTCTGCACATTTTTGCTGTTCTTCTTTCATTTTCTTTTCTAGTTCTGTAAACCTGTTGTCCAAATGGGAACTCTGCTGTTTTCTTGCTTTTTCAGCTTCAGAGAGACTTGTTTTCAACCTTGTAATATCGTGTTCCTTCGATTCAATTAGCTTCTGGCTGTTATCAAGTTTGTTTTGTAAAGTGCTTGACTTCTTTTCCAGATCGTTGCACTGCTTTTCCATAGCAGTGATAGTTTGTAGCTGTGAGTTAATTTCCTCCCTGTAACAGATCAATAGGCACAATGTAAATATAATAAATAAATAAATAAATAAATAAATAATTCCGTTATTTACCCTTGGGAGTATTTATAGCACTAATGCTAGTGGGGGCGAGCAAATGCCTGAAACAAATAATTCAAATTGAACTTAACAGGGTTAAGAATCGCAACTGGCCGGAAGCATCCCGGCTGGCTATTTACAAGCGTGGCTGAGGATTTGAACTTGGGACTACCGTGAGGAAATCTAGCTAGCGGCCAGGGCCCAATTGTTCAAACGCCGGTTAGTGCTAACCCAGGGTTAAATTTTAACCAGGGCTTCTTTTTCTTCTCAACAAAAGTACTCTTTCAGATGATTTTCTACATTTTTTTAGAGTATCCAATCATCAAATTGTAGGCAAAGAGAATTAAACTGAATTTGCTTTTTATGCTGTCATATCTGAGTTCAAATTTCGCACTAACCCTAGGTTATCTTAACCCACCTTTTAACGACCCAGCCCAGAGCGGGACTGCCAAATTGCAAGTCCAATGCTCTAACCACTAGGCCACACTGCCTCCCCATTAAAGCACTGACCAAGAAGAAATAAGGAGTATAACTTTGCCTATAGTGTTCAGGATACGACAAGCACCAACTCAAAACAACATGTGTCCCAAAAACTAAGTGGGAAACGACCTCCACGACCTTGGTTGAATGTTTTAAGCAATGGAGCTATGTGGAGGTCTGCAGTGAAACCACCAGATAAGAATCTACATATCACCGAGACAGTTCTAATATATATTGGATATCTACTCAATGCAGGTTTTTTTATATAGATTCTTGTAGGTGACAGAGGGGCTGTCATTACTATAGGTGTGGTCCCTTCTTAAGGGGTTAACACCATTTAGCACAAGAAAATTACAACAGAAATCCTGTCAGTGTGATCATCACCTAGATCTACATTGCAAACACAGTGGATTTCTTTTTTATTTCTTCATTGTGATTCAGCTTGCAACCCTACCAGTATACAAAGGATGCCAAATGTTGCAGACAACCTTATAGCCTGAGAAAAGAGCATAGAAATTCCATACTGATAATGCAGCACTACACAGATCTGGGTAGTGCTACTGATTGGTTGAAAATATGCTTCAACCTTGCTTCAGCCAATCAGAAACACTACCCAAATCTGTCATCAGTATGGAATTTCTGCTATCGCTGCTCAGACGTCATTTCTTGGGGAAAGTAGGGGAGGCATCAGCAAAGGTCAGCTGTTTTCTCAGAATAACAATCTTAAAGCTTCGTCATGCATTCCTCTCCATGTTGAGGGGGGGGGGGGGACAGCAATCATGGAAGAAGCGCTAAGAACATCTGCTTGCAGGCTGTGCTGTTGTGTAAAGGTTACTGTCCAGAACAGAACAATCAACTCAGGGAACTTTTTAACACACCTGTGCTCCTTATCCTTTTCCTTCAATTTCTCTTCCATCCCTTTGATAACAGCCTCTGAATTGTGACGCTGGCAATCCATATCCAGGTCTCTTTGTTTGGCCTTTTTCTCTGTGAATGTAAAAGAATGCACTGTTAGTAAATGCATGGTAGTTTCAAGCATGCAGAGTGTCAAACTGCTCAAACATTTACTATGAATTTGCTTGCATCTATCAAAACTCTTGGAGGGGGCTAGGAATTTCTCCCAGCTACAAGGAACATGATCTCTGGCTACTTTCATAGAAAAACAGAAGAAAAATAAACCAAAAGAAATCCCAAGATGTTTGATTCCCCACCATCTTCTTGTATCTACATGACAACTTGAATTCTTAGTGACAGCCTTGCCCTAACCCTAAATAAGAGACAAGCCAGGTCAAGCGTACCCACTGAGATTCCATTAATGAATTTATTGTTCATTAATTCATTTTGAATCTGTTGGTAGTTTATCCATTAAGATTTTTTCATCCCCACCAAATACAGGAAGGTTATCCTAAAAAAATTCACTGCTCCTTACCCATAGTCTGCTACACAGCTGTTTTTAGTGTTGTTGGGAGGAGCGTTGCATGACAACACTAAAAACGGCTGTGTAGCAGACTACCTTACCCATGCAGGAAAGCACATTTGAATTTGATACAGGTTGCAGCAACAACAAATGGAGTCATTTTTCAAATAATCCATTCATTCATGGGATCTATGGGGGTAGGCTTGACTATGACACAGGAAGGGGATCCACTGACTAGTAAAATTACAATCAGCACTTACCCAAGCTGGCAACAGTAGCATTTGCTTGATCCAGTTCGGATTTAATCTTTGAGATCTCTGCAGCACTAACTTTTAATTCTGACAGCTCCTTGTCTTTTTTCTGCAAGATTTCTGACATGTTATTCAGCTCTTTGACCTTCTGTTGCAGTTCAGCATCTTTCTGGGCTAATTTTTCAGTAGCACAGGACAGCTCCTTGATTTTAGCTTGCAACTGATCATGTTCTGACTGAAGCTCATTTTGATGATCCACATGAGGTACTTTTGTTTCTGATACAGAGGTGACAGGGTCCTAACAGTGTGTTTTCACAAAGAACAAACAGTGAGTGATTAAAAATTTTAAAACCAAGAGTGACCAACATTGATTTTTAGAACAGAAAATTCCAACACTCAACCCTCAGAGCAAAAACTAAGAAAAAGAAACAAATATTTTGTCCGAATCACTCAGACTTCATCAGCGTTGTAAACTGACAGGTTGCATAAAAGAAAAATATAGAAACATTCGTTACTTTTTCTTAATTCTTGCTCTGAGTTTTGGAATTTTCCGTTCTAAATGTCTTTGCCAGAGCAGGTGAAAAACCTTTTTCATAACATCAATTTTCTGCTAAAATCAGTATTTCATCAAGAAGAAAGGTTATGAGGATTAATAAAATGATTACCAAAGAAAATAATAAGCTTTGATCTTTTATCAAAGTCTCTCAAGCAATTTTTCAAGAAAAGTATGGAGGCCAGTCTGGAGAATTTGTATGTTGATCTTGGGGCTTAGGGTGATTTTGCAACAATGTTGTGATGCTGTGTTGCACTAAAACTCATTAGATTTATGACACTGGCCCCAGGCTACTAGCTTGTGACTGGAAAGCTTATTTCATTATTTAAGCATTCACAGTGTGCAAAGAAGGGCCTGTCCCATAGCCCGGTGCTAGTGGATTTTGCTATTGGGCTAGTGAATTCTGTTTTTTTTGCCTGATGAGCAAGTTAAGTTTTTTGCAGAATTCAAAATTTACAGAACTGTGGTCAATCCCGCTTATCAAAAAAATTTTTTTGGGGTAGTTAAAATGACTGTTGGGCTAGTACATGCTAGCTACAGTTGATCCAAATGGCAATCTGTAAAACTGACTTTCTTTGCACCCTTCTTCAGTGAACTTAACTGCTGGGTACCCAGAATTTCAAAGTTCCAAGACACTAAACCCTTCTTAAATCAAAGCACTGAGATGATACCAGCTCTTCAAACTCTTTAACAGTAAGATAGCATTTAAACTGGTAATATGAAACTAAAAATACTATGACCCACATCTCTCTAGTAGAGACTTCAGGGTATAACTTCGATATAACTTCTTGAGGTTAAGACACCTCATGGAAAAATTTAGCCTGTTCAGACATTAAAGAAGAACACAAAGTGGACAGCAAAACATACAAAAGAAAAAAAAATCTGTTGCTGTTTTTTCCCTGCCTTTTTCCCTGGCTCATTCTACTCTGTACCTATCCCTCTATCTACATCAAAACTTAAAGCAAAGTTTATTACTCCACCTCATTTTTATTAGCTTTAGCAGCAACTGCCTTGAGCTCATTAAGTTCACTTTCAATCTTCAGTCTTCTTTCTTTTTCTTGCTGCAGACTCGCTTCAGCCTCCTTCAGTTTCACCTCTACACCAGACTGCCAATCCATTTCAGAGTCGGATCCCGACGAGCTTTTCTTGGCTCTTGAGTTGGGTTCTTCTCCAAGGGATTTTAGGTGATTTTCTAGCATCCTTACACGCTCTTTGTGTCCTTTGTAGATGAAGAAAACAGCAATTGTTTATCACTTTCTTGTGTAAGAAATTAAATGCAGATTCTCCCAAAAGGTTTATACTTGTTCCAGTAAGTGAAAAACAGTAAATACTCTAAACCAGTCAATTATGTTCACAAATCCAACAGTGAACTTCCTTTCTTTTACATTATAACACTATTATTGAGGTCAATGCATTAGTTTCACACCAGAAGAATGTACCCCTAGGCAACTGGAAAATGAAAGATGGGGAACAATAATTGTTGTACAGTCGAAACCCGCTTTACGAACACCTGCTTAATACGGACACTTGTTATAACAGACAGTTTTTCTTGTCCCTGCGGAAAGCCCTCACATTTTGTCTAGATGGTCTGTGGACATAGTCTGGGGAATGATGACTTGTGTGACAGTTGGATATAATTATGTTTAATTAGATGATGCTAATGTTCTGTTTATTTTTATGGGATTTTGTTCAAATAAAAGGTATATTTTTTATTTATATGACATGACCTGCTTAATATGAACACCCCTGTTAATCGTCACTTTCTCTGGCCCCCTCAGTGTCTGTATTAATGGAGTTTGACTGTATGAACAATAAAACAAACAACCACTGAACCACAATAAGCTGCGATAGGTGACATTTTTCTGACTTAAAAAGGGGAAAATGAAGCTTTCCCTACCCTATCCCTCCATGCAATGTTGAGCCAGTGTATGATCTACCAGTAAGAAACTTTACAAGACCCCCCAACTTTGAACAGAGGAGAGAGGGGAGGGGTGCAAATGCTTTTGTTCTCTGAAGTAGTCCATTTGACGATCGTGTTGTAACAATGTTTTTGCCTACTGTAAATACGAAGGAATTCCCGGCAAAAGTAATGTCGTTGAAGTTGGTATGAAGTTATGATAAATTTACATACAACTTCAAATTATAAAGGTCATTCTAGAATAGACCAGTTTATAGGTCACATTAATAGATTTCCCCTTTCAACAGGCAATCAAAAGACTACAAAACTGAAATAGATTGCTGTTACAGGCTTTTCCTCTTGATAATGAACTGCATGTGATTCACTGAAAAATCTGAGGACCACGCTCAACAATCACCTTGACAAAAGCTACAACATGTAAGATACAAATGAATATTATATGGCGGGAATCTTTGGCCATGATTAACAATCTGAGAGTGAAAGAACTGCAGCTCCTGCCAGGACATAGATGTTTAATAACTTAAAAAGACATTTCGTTAAGCCATCAAATGCTATGAAGATAGCCAAGAAAAGGTTCTACATTTATGAAGAAATCTGAGCCATGAGACAATATACAAGACATGTCGACTGATCAATTTATTGTTCGATCGGCCTACCTGCAAGCTGTTTTTGAAGTAAGTTATTGGCTTCCTTCGACTTTGTGTAATCAGCACTCTGCTTCTCCAATTTACCAATAACCTGATTATGTTCGTACTGTAAATGGTCCATGTCATTTCTAAGCTGCGCTCCTTTGGCGGTTTCATTATCTAAAAGCTGCTGACATCGAGCAAGTTTACCATCGAGGCAACGTATCTGTCCTTCCTTGGCGTTTAAATCATGCAGAATCTTGTCGCGATTTCGCTCCAGTTCTTGTATGGATTCACTCAAAGAATGGTTTTCCTTCTTAAGAGTTGAATTATTCGCTTTTTCTTCCTCTGTTAATTTCTTTTGCTTCGCGATCGCGGCTTGCAAACTGTCCAGTTGGAATTGTCTTTGTTTCCCTTCCTTCTGTAGTGTCTCGCATCGTTGCTCGAGATCGTAGACTTTGTTTAAAGCGTTCGCCGAAAGCTCTTGCTTCCACTCCTCTTTAGCCCAACTCATTTTTTACCTCGACTTGCAATTTCACTAAGAAAAAGAAACAACCCTTACTCCATCGCACTCTGATCTTGAAAATCCCGCCATAAACCCAATACTTCGAGCAACACGATCGATCGTTCGTCGATCTCGGATTTCGTAAAAATGAATGACAGTTGACAGTTACTCTTCAAACCGAAGCCATTCTCGATTGTGATTGGTCAGTTGAATGAAAAGTGGGAAATTTGAAGTGAGGCTTGCGCTTGCTAGGACCCAGTCTTTCATTTTCTTTTCGGTCACAAAAATTGAAATTACGGTATTTTAGCAAAAATAATTTCGCGTTTTCAATTTAATTTAATTGTAACCGCTCCTCATAACTTAAGTTAAGAAAGTCTAGACTTGGACTACTCATGACTACTGCACATAATCACTTTCAACAAAGACGAACTCGAAAAAAGATTTTGAGTTCAAGTTGTACAACCCCTCAACTTTTGAGGCTTGGTGCCCGATTGAAAGGCTTCTTGCTTCTTGTTGGACACAAAATGGGAACAAACCCATAGTTTCCGTAACAGCCGGCTGAATACGATACTCGTTGGGAACCAGTGTGAACACAACCTTAGTCAAGTACCGTAACTCAGAATAGCCTGTTCAAGGCTCCGGGTTGTTGGACACAAAATGGGAAAAAAAAACCCATAGCTTCATCCTGGAACAGGGCGAGGGGGGGGCATATATGGGAATAGGATGCCGCTGTGAAGGGTATGGGGAACCAGGATGTATAAAACAACCTTAGAATAGGGTATCATTTTTCAGGAAACTGTAAGTTGGTTGAAGAATAGACTGTTCAAGGCTCCAGGTCTGGGGATTTGGGGAAAGCGCGAACACAAAAAGCTGAAAACTCGTGTTAAGGGTTCCAGGCTCCCAGCGTCATCCTGGAAAAGGCTATAGCCAGAATAGCACAGCATACGAACGGACGTCAGAGTGACTAATTTGCAATGTTTGCATTTTTGTCATTTTAATGACGAAAGCCATAGACACGTGACATTCTAATGACAGGACGATTAAAAGTGAGGAAATCGCTAAAGTTAATTTCAATTCAGTGTGTCTGAGTTTCAGTTCTATAAATAGTAACCGTTACCCTGGCTTCAGAGGTTCGTTCTCCAAATACCTTTGATGAAATGAACCGTGCTCACGTGAGAAAGCTCCCGAGAGGGACCTCTGGTCACACAAACAAGCAACAGTTACTTTTTCCTCTCGGCGCTTCGCGCCTCACTGTCGCGGCCGTGACCGCGAACTATCAGCAATTAGATACGAAAAAAATAACATCGAGATCCCTAGCCTGTTCCAGGCTCTCAGATCATGGGGAAGAAGAGAAAGAAAAAGGCACGCGAAAAGTTTGTGGGGCGCGAAAAAGGAAAAAGGTGCCGCCCCTGAGGCTCTCCCCAGTTTCCTCCCGTTTTATTTCCGCGTTCGCGCTTTCTCGATTCAGCAGACTCAACTATCTCGGAGCCTGAAACAGGCTACGAGATTCCAGGCGCAGTAAGTAACTATGAGCAGCGCTACTTGACTGACTGTGATTGAGTACAAGGTCTCCAGTTTTCTGTGTGCAGCTCTTTTACGTTAGCTGTGACGCCCTATGACAACAATCTATGATTCCGGACTTGCATATATAGTCAATTTAAATAACCTTGATTGAAGCAGGAAACCGTCCCTTGATACGTCTCTAGTACCCAGTGTAAGTGTAAACATATATTATGCTGAGTCACCAGGGGATCGTTACTTGTTTTCTGCTTGATTGTAATCTCGTCGTTTAGGAACTTCTTTTGTAGAACCTAAAGTAAACTATTTCCACTTTCATACCAGGGGCGGATCTAGGGGGAGGGTGCAGGGGGTGCGCACCCCTCCCCCCGAGATGACCTGCGGTTTTCTGTATTCTGCAAAAAAAAAAACTATGTGGTTTATTGGTGTTGAAGTAGAGCAAGAGACAGTGTTAACAAAAATCCTGGATCCGCCCCTGCATACCTAAACTGTAAACTTATAAAAATAGGTCGTCCGACTATTACCCCCCCGCCCCTCTGGCTTGTGTGGATGACGTTTTGAAGGCTAATTAAAAAACAGTAAATGCAAAACGTATTTTGCCCAGCGCTGCCACCCCGTTAAATTTGTTTCCAAGCGCTTTTTCTAGTCCAGTTTTATTAAACCCACCTCGGATATAAGCCCCTCCGTTTATAGGCCCTCCTAAAGCTCCTTATGAAGAATTTTTGAGGGGTAGTCTACGGTATTCTAAATAGATAACTGGCTTTCTACACCTGTTGTGGCAGACTGCCGTGGTTGAGCTGGGGACAGGGTGGGTGCTGTCAAATTGCACAATGGGATACAGGGGACGAATTTTGACCCAACCTCTTCCCCAGGGTCTTCTCGTATGCCGGATTAGAAGCTGAGAAGACCCTGGGGACGAGGTTGACCCCGACCCAGTTTTCGCTCAAACTCAAAATGGCCACTGGAATGTGATAAACAGATAAGTGGTTAAGACAAACAAACAAACAAACAAACAAATAAATAAAACAAAGAGGGAAAGAGGAAATGGTCGACGCTAATATTGTCCTCAAAAACGCCATTATTTTATTTCTAATAATATTCCGTAGAAATGAGAGAATTACAATATTTAGAATTCTATACGAAAATAATTCTATCTAGCGGTTGGTATTGATATCATCATTAACAACAAGAAAATATTTCATCGAATAAATAACTTATCTAGCAAAAAGTAAGAACGGACACACACAAACAAAAAAAAATAGAAGCTGGGCATACTTTCAACGGCACACAGGTTCTCTTATAACTAGAGATGAAAAACAGCATCATCTTTGCTAACATCGATCATCGAACGGTTTTTTGAATGACCCAAAACCAGAACAAAAGCAATCTCTCTGGCCAATCGCTGTGCACGGACAAAATCAAATGGGCCGATCAGATCTCGACACAAGTTCAGGAGGCCAGCGCCCAGCGCCGGAAAACTCATGTAAGAAAGTTACGATTGGTTTTTATTTCACATCTAATTGGTTGAGAAAGAGAGGGAATTTTTTTTAGCCAATCAGTAAGCGTCATAATCTAACTCCATACAGTCACGAAATTGCATTCAGCACTCAAACGAAAAACCGCCCTAACAACGCAATGTATTACTTTTTTGTTTCTCTACTTCTTTCAAGAAAATGTATTTCATAAGAAAAGGAATGAGTCGTTACCTAAACTAGGAATACTCTACGTATATTTTATAGAGCGTTTTCGAACACTTGGCCAGCAGCTATACAAATTTATTGGAACAAAAGAAAGTTTTAACAAAAGAAGAAAGTTTAAATCACACAGGACTGGTTTGGGACACCAACCTGGCTGCCGTTTCATTGTTTGGGGACATCAATATGGCGGACGTGACGTCATGTGAAAAACGCTCTATAAGATGCAGTCACTATTTGTGTTTTTAAAAGGTGATATACTTGATACACCAAGCTTGCTCAAAGACCAAGAAAATTTGCAACCATGTTGTCTTGTAATAAGCATAGAGCGGTTTTCAATTTCATTATCGAAAAACCAGACACCCTAGAAGTAATTCTGGCCAATCACGATACCCGCTAGCTATGAGATGACAAGCAAATCAACCAAACAGAAATGGAGGAAAATAAATAGACGCAAGTAATATTTTGTTTGTTTTAAGAACCAAAGCGATAAAACGAGAGTTCAGATAATCAATGAAAGCAGAAACCCGCTCTATGAAGCCTTCATTGAATTGATGGTAGTAATTTCATGAGGCGTTCAGTCCTCTATAGTACAAAAAAAAAATGAAAGCCTTCAGAAATACTATATTAAGTACCTTACAACATGTAGGTTTTTTTTACAATATTTACAAGATGGTAGCACGTTATTGGATCAAATTTGACTCTTCATTACATCATATAAGTGTATTTTAAATTGACGCAAACTAACAACAATACAAACAACTTTATAAAATTACACCTTGCACAAATAAACGGTTTAAGTTTAAGGATACCACGCTTCTAACCCAGGTATTCGACGTCATATTATTATAAGAAACGCTTCGTCAAGTTTCTAAGTAAAGAAAGCTTTACTAGGTCTACTAGGGCTTCTTTAAATCATTTGCGTTTTTCTGAGTATTAAACTTGTTGACTAGATGCTGCACCAGTCCCCTCACGACCACATCATCCTTATCGAGTCCCTCAATCAACATGGGTTCCAGCCCCTCTTCGATGTGTTCCAAGTTCTCAGTGAGTGTTTCCTCTAAAGCTTCCATATCATATACGCTCTTGGGCCTCGCTTTACAAGGTTCTTCCGAATCCGGTTTGACTTTCTCCACCGACCAGCTCTGCCGCCGAAAATCGTCCGATCTCCGCCGAGAAGATCCCGAACGCTTTCTTCGGCGCCTTACGAGCTTGTAACTCTCAATCGGGGTGCTACTGAAAGATACCTTTGTGATCTTTTCAATTTTAATTTTTGGGGTGTGGTCAGTGACATCATCCTGGCCACTTGCAAATGCTAGTGAGCCTGTGCTACCGCGCAGTTTACTTCTATTGCGCATGCGTATCTCGTCCGCTTGCTGTTTGTCCGACACAATTTTGGAATACTGCCTAGCCATTTGATAAACACTAGGCAATAACGACTTCGTTGGCGTAATAACATGTTCAGGCTCGGCTTCGGATGATTCTTTGTCCATGCTGTTTAATTGTCTGCTTTTCTCATTGCCGTCTGCGAAAAGTTCAAACACTCGTTTCTTTACTGGAGCGTTTTCAGTCGCCAGCGTTGAATTTGGTTCATGGTGTTCCTGTGGCACACAATCATCTAAGCGCACAGCAGATTCTGATGGTCCGCTCTCATTTTCGCGCGTTTTTTCACCCGATTTTTCAGAAACGTCAGTGTTTGAGTCTGTTGCGCCCAAGCCACCAGTATCACGCTCATTTGGCGCGATTTTTCCGGGTCGTTGCTCCGAAGAAATTTTCATGTCGCTCGAGTGCGGATCGTCATATTCCCTGGAAAAGTCGACGATTCTCGGACGGCGCCTACGTCTTAAAGAGCCCGTGGGCTGGCCCTCCGCGTCCAACGGTGACTTGTCATTTTTTATCAGCAGAGCAGACTCCAAGAGCTGCGCGTAAGAAATGGTGCGACGAGTTTCGTCCAGGTCTCGATCGATAGAAGCAAGAAGTTCATCTAAATTATGAGAGGAATCTGAGCTGCCGGATTCTTTTCCCGGAGAGGTGCGGGTTTCCACGATGTATCGGGATTGTGCGGGCTGCGTGTGAGACTCATGGGATGTGCTTTTCTCCGGGGGAGGTGACGAGCCGCTGAAAGCTCGGCTTACTTTCCGCACAGTCGTCTGTATAGCTGAATACTCCATAAGATCAGTAATCTCCTCGCTATGGCTAAAGACACTTGGAAAACCTTCGTTTATGTTACGCAAGTCAGTCGTAGATGACGATTTTTCCGCGCTTAGTCTCGCTTCAAGAAGCCGATGCCCGCTACTTGACGTTCGCCTCGGGGGAATGGGACTGATCTTCCCACGCTCGCTTGCAGCCTCGTCATCGGACACACTACTTCCGCTTCTGTTACGTAACCTTTGAAGAGACTCACACCTGGTGAAGCTGCTCGAGCGTTCTCTTGGAATAGGAGGTACCCTTTTTACGGTATTTTCTTCTTTTACGTCCTTTTCAAAAGATGGCAGTTCTGTCCCTTGCCTGGCGACATCGTGGTTACCGCTGTCGCGTTCGGCAATCGCGGTCCCCAAAACCTCTCCATTACTGTCTTGGACGGAATATCTTGTGGTTTGTTCCGCAGGTTTCTCAGAAAATCCGCTGTCACTGTGCTCGTTATCGTTGCTTTCAGCAGTCGTGCTCCCTAACAGATTCCCTTGGGCGTCCTCTACTGAGTATTTTGTAGTTCCTTCCGTGGATTTTTCGGGATCGCAGCCATCATAACCGCCTTCATGCGCGGTTCCCAACACATTGCCATTAGCGTCCTGAATTGAATATCTTGTAATTTGCTCTGTGGATTTCTCTACATCTCCACAACTTTCCTGTAAAGGTAAAGCAATTAAAATGTAAAAAAAGATGGTTAAGTAGTTAAGATTTTTTAAAAAACCTAAATCACCCTGTCGGTTGAGTGAAAACAGCGTTAAAAACGTACCACTGATCTAAATGTTCTTTATTTTTAAACTTCCATTGGTTCTCATTTAAATGCTTTGTGACTGGCTGAAACATATGTTGCACCGCTTTACTAACCAATCAGCAGTAAAATCAAAACAAAACGCGACAAGCACTCTCCGCCAATTGGCGCCGGTTACATGTGTCTCGAGCGATGACTGGCTCATTCTTGCACAGGAAGAGCTTCACCTCAGGTGACCGCACCACCTACCCCTCCCCTACGCCAACATTAACCCTTACTTCTCACTTGGGGCAAAATGTTGGCTTAGGGGAGGGGTAGGTGGACAGTTTCCCAGAGACGTATGATCCAGAACGATCGACAGTCACGTCATGGCAAGCGAGCCCCTATAGATTCTTTTAATGAACTGATCATTTGAAAATAGAATGAGCCGATGTCACGACTACAATAAAAAAAATGAAGCGATACTGGCCAGGACTAACGAAGGGCGGTACTCTTGAAATGGTTTGACATAGCGCATGAGTAATAAAGGATATAACCTAAACTAGGAGTTAACTTACCAATTTATCGTCTTTGTTTGTGTCTTGAGCCCTCAGTCCCTGTTCCTCACCTCCCACTTGTCCAGCGGCGGATTCAGAAGAGACTCCAGATTCATCCTCATTAGCTTCTTCACATGGTTCCAAATCATCTTCTCTGTCACTGAGAATGGACTGTGGGCCGAGTGACTTCTAGATAGAGTAACCAAACAAAATGCAACTGTGAGGCGTGAAAGGCACGTGAAAAAAACGTGAAGCGCACGTGATAGCAGATATACAAAACAAAAATGAAACTATGAGAAGTGAATTCTGTAACTGCGCGTACTAATGCACGACTTCTCCTCTCTATTTATAGCAATTTTACGGATGTCAGTGATTAAAAGCAAAGTTTTGAAACGTTTCTAGGGTATTTGGTGATCAGATCATATACAAGAAAATTTGCCAATAGTAACCAAATTTTCAGAGCGTAAAAGAAATAAAAACACTGAACGACAAAATACATTTGCACGAAATTTGTTTAGGGCAAATATGATGCAACAAGTGCAATATGAGGAGTAAATCAAGGGCAAAGATGGTAAATACCGCATTTCCCTGCTTCTTTAGAACCCTGTGTACATTAGTATGCAAATGTGACATTTATAACGTTTCCCCCTGATTTACTCCGAGTTTGCACTTTTTCATCGTGTTTTGTCATCCAGTAAAAGAAGCGAATAACACAACGCGAATACCTTCTCGTCGTCTGAAGAGTACACGTCTGATGGTGGTCGGGGTTCGCCCTCATCATCTGACTTCTTCTCTGCGTCCTAACAGTACGTAAAAATTACAGTGAAAAATTTACAACACTAAAAAAGGTTTCGCTACTTATGAACAATTGTTCTCAGTAAGCGTAATTGTTAACAGCTTTTAATATACAAGCAAGTTTTAAAGCTAAATTTTAAAGCCGAAATGCAGTTCCCAATCCGCCACCCATCGTCCCCTATATTGACAACAAGATCATTCATTCTTAACTTTCCGCATGCGCAGTAACTACGAGATCACTTTTTCACGTCACAACCTCTCGACCAATCAGCCGTTTTTAAGCCCTGTCCCGCGAGGGTAAATTACGCCTGCGACGCAGGTTAGTAGGGACTTTAAGATCCAACGACGCGACAACAACGAGAATGTCGCTTAAAAAGTGAATTTTTTTTGCGTTCATTTAGTCTTTACAGCGATTATTCCTATCCACTTAATTACTTTGTCAAATGTAGGCGAACCCTCCTGAAGCTGAATTTCAAGTGACAATATCCAAGCTCAGATTTCGTCGTTGCTTGTTTACGTCCTCCTTAAAACGCGAAATTAGAAATTTTCACGACGAAGTCGTGCAAAAACAGGAAAGAAATGTACAAAAAAGCGTGATGCAAAGTTGTTGTTTTGCTTATTAAAGCTTTTGTTTTTTTGACGTTCTCGTTGAGGTCCGCGTCGTTGGATCTTAAAGTCCCTAGTGATTCGTTAGAGCACACGACAGGGAATGAACACCCGTAGTCATACTTAATCTGGTATCCATAGCCCAGTCCAAAGGTCCTTACTTTCTTTTATGCCATGGGTTTCTTATTTGTGTAAACGTACCTTCTTGTTTTTCCTGCTACTCCTAAGAGGTGATCCTTTACGAGAGAAAAGATAACAGTCACTTAATAAATTACATCTTGTGTAGACGGCGAAGGGGATTGTACGCAAAAAGGCAGAAATTGGCGGGAAAAATGCAATCATATACGGAATTCACGCGGGCCGCTCTGCCACAACCATTTTTTTTCTTTGCTGAATATCAGTTAATTTATCAGCAAAAGCCGGACAGAAGAAGAGGAAAAAGTTTCTAAATAGAATAAGGTCATGCAAAAAGTTTATAGTGAAACAGAGCAAGAACAGAATAAAATCATTGGCTTGATGTTTAATATCTGTTTGAGGATAATAACGGCAAAAAACACCAGCAAAGATTGAAAAGTTGCATAAAATACATTGACGACTGCGTAGCCACTTACGAAATTTTTTAAAATTATAATTAGAAATTACAAAAGGGCATCGCACAATCACTCCAAAACTAACCCGATTAACAAATTCTCTGTTGTAAATGCTTATATTTCTGGTTGGCAAATTAAGTCATTGGTTCTTGGTGTTTAGTGTGTCGTTTAAAAATTTAAGGGATTGCATCAACGAAGGCCTCAGTCCTTGGCGAAGTCAAAAACTTAATACAAGACTTATAGACAGATTTATCAATTGCAGTAATTAGTCAGAGGAATTATAATTTATCATTACCTTAACATTACCTTATCATACCTTTATGATTACATGTACAGTTGCGAGGGACACTGCTGACCCCAGAAAAACGTTCCATGCTTAACGGTTTACTTTTTAAGTTCATCTTATTCATTAGATTTCCTTGCAAAGAAGCATTTATCCTTCTGTTTACAGCTTCTAGAGTCTGTATGTTATACTGTTTAGCAAGCTTTTAGTGGAGCCAGAAGCAAGCATTTCTATTGGCTAGTTCATAAGCAATTCGATCCAGTCTCTTAAGTTCTAACTGGGAGTTATTAAAGGCCGTTTGTTCGAGTATTCGATGAATGCAGGCGAGAATTGTTCAGAGCTGGAAAAAGGAAAATAATAAGCAAAACAAAATGAACCAAAATAAAGGTGTGAACAGTTATTAAAAATGATGATGATGATGATGATGATGATGATGATGATAACAATGATGATGATGACTTACAAGTAACTTTTAACAATTTTTAAAAAACGTTACAGTTCAGGGTTATTTGAGGTTATTACACCGAAATGTGAAGGTCCGCAAAATTGAAAAAAGAAAAGATAAGAAAAGAAACTGATTTTGGGTTCGTTTAACCGAATCTAAACAGAATACCCAGGTATGTAATTCATCAAAATGCGACTGATATAGAAGATATTACATGAAAGCGCTGAGATACGAAATTTCTCTTCGACTATTGAAAAATAATTCACGAGTGAGAAAATAAATCGAAATTTACCTTTCAGTTGCTGAGTTCCTCTGTTTAGCTTCTCAACAGGTCTTGACCTTTTCTTGCCTTCGTTATCATGGTTTTCTGTAGATTCAAGAAATGTCAATATTGCATGAGTTCTTCTACGACAGTGAATTTTTTGCCCGAGTAAAACACTTAGGATGCTCTTCTTTCGGAGGATTCAAGATTAAATACCTAATCTCAGATTTTTAGATTCGTTACAACAAAAAACACCAAAATCGGGCGATGGGTGATTCTTTCGCGAGACACCAATACTGGAGCAAACCGGCGAGAACCTAACGGGCTTCATACTAACTTGCAAGGTGCCTTTTTTCCGGACCTGTACCCAAAGAAACGCACTAATCTAACAAATACAATTAGTGTGGATTCTTTAGATTCAAAATCTAGTTAAGAATCGTTTTGGGATAGCTCGGCATATGTGTATTTTCTGCTGAGTTGTTTGCACTTGCCACCGACAGCCTTTCACTTTCTGTGCAATTAATTAAGTTGGTAGTAGATAAAATAAGCTGGTCTACGTGCTTACGAAAACAAAACAATCGAAAATAATTACCTTGTTCGCCTCTTTCCTTGACTTCTTTTTTACCTAGAATTAGGGCTTTTGCCTGAAAGAAATTAAAAGTTACAGTGAATACTAACTACTACTACTACATTCCTGTACTCGGCTACTACTACAGTTAAACGGCACATTAAGAATGAGGGCGACTTTCTCCCTCTTTTCTGCCATTGTGTTCATGGTTTGGCTTAAAAGCCGGCGAGATTTGTCAGCGGATGTCCGAAAAAGCGTAGGACGAGTAGACTGTTCCCTTTCTTATAATTTGCTTTTTGGTTGAATTGTTTGTTTGTTCTTCTCGCATGATGACGAGATTAGCAAAAATAAGGAACGTATTGTAACAGACTTGTTAAGGACGATATTCAGGATACACCTCACTGCAGGTGGTTTTCATGAATTTTGGCCCCAATTAAATTCAATACGATAATGAGTATGATGATACATTGAGAGACAAAAATACAGACTCAGTTATAGAGACAAGTGAGAAGATGAAAATCTGTCCTGTGGAAATGACAATCAATGGAACTCCTTCTCCAGTATTCACATACCACTATATTTGTTTATCAACATTTAACAAAATTAATTAATTTTGAGAATAAAGTTCATGGATAGGAGAAAACTAAATATAGCGACTCCAACAGTTTTACCTCTTTGGGGACTTGCGCTGTTAAGCTGTCCACAATCAATCCCTTGAGTTCAAGTGTCCACTTTCGTTTCTGCTCAGCATTTCTTGCCTGTTTAGACGGAAACGAGAAGCACTATTGAAAAATTATTTGGCGATTCCTTTAATTCGTGACGCGAGGTGTTGTTATAGTTGTCCTCAAATTTTCCATTAGTTAATATTAGGGGTTCATTGACCAAAAAAACAAAAATTCACAAAATTTGAAACTTCTTTCTGTAAAATCCTAAAAAATAAATAGTACCACGCAAAAGATCTGCCAAAGAGGTTTTATTTCAATGGTAACACCATAGGATTTCATCCTCAGACTCAAAAGTTAGAACTATATACTAAATAAATAGCACCATGTGAAAGTACTGCTGATGAGGTTTCATTTGAGTGGTAAAACCGTAGGATTCCGTCCACAGACTCAAAAGTTAGAACTACATACTAAATAAATAGTACCATCGTGATGTAGGAGTACTGCTGATGAGGTTTCATTTGAATGGTAACAACATAGGATTTCGTCCACAGATTTAAATGCCAGAAAAGTTTCAGTTAAAATAACATGGTCTTGGGGTAAAGACTGTACTGAGCGTAAGTTGAGAAAGGTCTTTTAAAACAAGGCCAAGTTTTCGTTACTCACTCTGTCCATTAACCATCCAATTTTCCTACAGTTTATCTGAATGGCCAATGACAAAAGATGCAGGACAAATTTTTCAAATCCCCATTCCAGAAATGGTTAGATCCTTTCAGCGCAACGATTTATGGGATAGTTTGGGTAGACCAACGTTACTTATGATTGGTTAATGGTTGCCTTGAATACCATCGACCAATCATAACTAACACTTGTCCACCCAAACAATCCCAGCAATCACTGTGCCCAAAGCTTGTACCCATTCTTCTTAGAGTTACGCAAGTGGGGAATGACAACTTACCAAAAATATGAAACTGTTCTTCTGATTGTCAAAGCGTATTATCTCAAAAGCAAGTGGTTCTTTAGGTATTGACTCTGACAGCATCATGTTTGACAACTGATGAATAAAGAAACAAACAATCGAATGTGCTGCACATTACGATTTTCTATATTATTGCATTCACGCTCCTCTCTTGATTCACGCTAAAGAAGCAGTGTGACAGAATGGTCAGCGCGTCGGACTAGCAATCGGAACGTCCCGAATTAAGCATTCTCGCTAGGCCAGGGCTCAAAATAATGGTCGGACGGTGGCCGGACACGTTGACTAGCCAAAAAAATTTAGGTACGATTTCCGCACAGGTTACGGTTGTCTCGCCACTAACGAAATCGCCACCAAGAAGTTGACTCGCCGCAAACCAACTAGCTATCAAAAAGTCTAATCGCCACCAAGTAAAAACTCTGCAATAATCACCGTGTTTAGTAACCTACATGACTTATTACAGACTACAGACTTATTACCTGATGACGAGTTGGTTGGCGACGAGTCGACTTTCGTTGGTGACGAGATGGTTTGGTGGAGAGATGACCAGTTACCTCAGCACAGCCCATGCATTTATTATGCATGCTGCCAAACCGTGACTCGTTTAGTGTTTCTTCCATAGGATTTGGCAAGTCTTGTGAGGTTAAAGATTGTTTCGTTTCGTTTAGTGTCGAGGAAAACTGTGCAAAGTTTTTGGCCGGTCTAGTCACCATTCTGGCCGGACATCATCCCTTGAGGCCGGCCGTCACGGTTATTTTGAGTCTTGTAAGTCCCAATCTTTAATTCTCGGCCGCGTTCGTAAATAGCCAAGTGGTTCGCCTCCTCCTAGTATAGGTTATTTACTTTTAATCATGTCATGTTTGATTGGGATTTTTTCTTTCGATTATTTGTCTGTAAACCATAGCAAGAGTAGCTAAGGAAACGTCCACGAGAATATATAAACAAGGCATCATTTAAACAAGCAAAGTAAGTATCATCAAGCATCTTCCAGAGGATGCTCACCATCAAAGATGCTTTGCAAGAATAGCCACCTTCCTTCCGTTTTGTAATGAGGAGGATTTTCTCGAACAGGAACAAATGCCTATCAGTCCTGGTGTTATGAATCCGGAAGGTGTCCTATTAAGAAGGCAATAAGTTGAAATTACTCAGTTGGTAACATTTCATAGGCAACATGGTTTAATGGCGGATCAAGACCTTCAGATAAGGGGTGGCGGGGGTCTAAAAAAAATTCTTTTTTGGCCCTTTGGGCCTCACTTTGGTCTAAAACTAAGCGGGGGGCTCACCTGGACCGCCACTGTGGTTATTTTACATTGACATAAAGGTGTTTTAGCAAGAACGTTTTGGGGCGACGGACGTCAACCGGAAGTGGACTTTTGCAATATTGGGGCGTGATTTTGACCCAGTTTTGGGAAAAATCGTCTCTATGAGAGAAAAGACAATTGGGAATAAAAATTTGGTAGCCTCGTTGTCATATTGAAAGGGACAACGACTCACCTCACGTTGACGTAAGTCGCTCAAAAACGTTTTGCTTAAACTCCTTATTAAAATCAAATTAATTTCATTTCATTGCTGATGGGTGAGGAAAACTGCAATTATTTCCACGACACTAGGAACGCCATGGTCATTTATCAACAGAAATAATCAACGTGTTTAAGATTGCCAAGTTATAAAGAACAAAAATTCCAAGTTGATACCTCCAAAACTAGACTACCATAAGTTGTAAGATCTGGGCCCTGGAGGAGAACACACAAAAAATGTCAGTCACAGCAGTAATAAAACTCTCCCATCTGATTGGCTATTAGTAGCCCTGACTTGAGTATTAACAGGACAGTTTATGCGTAATCACTTGTCACTTCATTAGTCAGTTTTAAAAAAAGAACGGCAAATTAAAAACATGAATACAGTAGGTCCCTTACCTCAAAATCTGACATCTGGCTTTGAATTTCCTATGTATTAAACACAACACAATATTGTTAACAACAGTATAACAATATCATAGTTTTTGTCTTTATCTTGTGTGGCACACAAACCGAAACGCAAAAAAAAATTGAAACATTGCAGTGGAATTTGCCTGAATTCTTTTCATTACCATATGTCTGTATTTTTTTCTTCCTGTTGACAAAAATAATAGGCTATTTCCGTATTCAAACAACATTCACTTTCGAAACAAGGTTAAGTGCAAATCCTCCCTTGTGAAAAGGAGTTTGATTTGCATGAGAATAAAAAAACATTCTCACATCAATAGCTTTGCAAATAGCCTCACTTTGTCTTGAAACAAAGGCTTGGAGCAACTTGGAAATGGCCTATTTAATAACCTCGGAAAAGTTTAACATCAAAAAATGCAGTTTTTTTACCTGAACATGTACAGCTTGTTCATGCTGCCGTTTCATTTCATTAATATGATGTGCTACTCCAGTCATTGCATAGAGGGCATCCTGTAGAAGGCACAGGCATACCAACATCATTAACATAGAGAACTTTGTATTGTTTAGAAGAAAGAAAACAGAGGTTACCATTCTAAACATTTCTACCAAATATTTAAAAATAATGTAGCAGTACTTACAGAAATTATATCATAACCTTCAGGGTAATTCTCCTTGTCAAAGTGCTTTTGAATATCCTTGCAAGATAAATAAGAACAAAAAATCATTTCAAAACATGCTTGCCAACACGTTTACAATAAATTGGTGGTTAGAAAGAGAAATACAGATACAGAGGCTGCTAGACTATGAGCAGTCTCTCTTTTTTTTTCAGATTTAGGGATGGTGGGAGGGCATGTGACAGCTCTCACCGTTTGAATTTTGGTGAATTTCATGACACAGCTCCTTAAATGAACATACCGGTATATAAGAAGTGCACCCACAAAACCTGAATGTAGTAATTCAAAGGACACCAAAAAGATGTAGATTTTAAGAAGAAATTTATAATTCTACAACCATTGCTTTTCTTTTTAAATATATAGGTAAACAATACAGACATCCCATACAGACATCCCATTGAAACTTAAGGTTAATTACCCTTAAGACCCCACAGCAAGACAATATTCATTGGGCCATAATTTCCTGATTAATTGTTTACTCTTTTATGTAAGCATTTTAACTATATTATCTTAATAAACCTGTCATTCATTTAATTACTATACCTGCAGCAAAAGGTGATACTTGAGTATTCTTTGAACAGGTTTTAACAAATACGAGCCAAGGGGGAGAGAATGGCCAAGTTCAACTTGAATTTTCTGCAAAACATATTACGTATTTTCATTCCATTAAACACAAACATGTACATGTACAGCAGAATTAAGGACTACCATCTCAAAAATGAGAAATTTACTTATAATTTCAGTTTACCAAAAACTTCTGACAATACCTTAAGAAAATCTGCAGTTTCTTTTTGCTGCGTGCATTTTGTTAGTACTTCCATTGACCTAATGTGAAAGCAAGTATACTGTAAACATTGATGCGACTGAATACATTTTGTAACCATTTACACTAGATATGGCCATAAGCAAGAAGATAATAACTTTTTTCTTACAATGGATAATTTGTACAGTAATCTGTATACGTTTTGAAGCCCTTCTCCTACAAAATAAAATAATAAAAAATGAGATTTAGTGCCAGTCAAGACAATTGGACATGAAAAAAAGGCAATCAGGAAAGCACTTTCCCCTTAATAAGATTGATCCCTACCAAGTAAAAGAGATCTCATTATTTCTCTTTAGGCTTACAACTTCCCACCTAGCTAGTTGGCATAATATAGTTGGGAAGTTCTGACAATTCCTAGAATTCACAGGAAGCTTAAAGTTTGTTGTGCAGTGTATTGTACAACAATAATTGAATTTTACAGAAAAGTTCAGAGATGCCCATCTAGAGATCCAAAAATCTCAAGATCTTCACTTTTTGCCAGCCTTTCATCATCAACTCTTTCCCCTTTCTCACAAGAGAAAAACAATCCAGTCCTCCAAAACTGACCGCCTTCCATCTCTCAGGAGATTAACAGGAAGGTGGTCCACTTTAGTCATGGGTTTTAATTGGATAATCTTTATCCAATCAGACAGTCTAGTATTAGTAACGTGAAAAAGGTGTCCCACAAAGTCTGAACATGAGTCTCAGCAGGAATTAGAAAAACCAACTTTCCTGACTTTTGTCAAATCTTTGAGCTAGCCATTAAACGAACATTATGGAAAAGTATTTGGAAAATGTGGACAATTTTCTGATCCTATTTAAGAGACCACAAGATTGGCTCAACCGTAAAAAAGGCTTGTTTATAGTGGAAAGTGCACTTAGCTTATCCAGCTAGTTTACAAGCACTCCACTCAAATACTTGGAAACAAATAATGCAACAACAACATAACAGGATTAACAACCCCAACTGGCAGGAGGCAACCAGTTGGCTATTTGCAAGCGTGGCCAAGGATTTGAACTTGGGACGACCCAGAACAATTCCAACAAGTTGCCAGAGCGGGACTCAAACCCTGGACCACCAGATTCCGATTCTGATGCGCTGACCACCCGGCCACGCTGCCTCCTTATAAAGCTTTAAGATGGAATCCATTAGGAAACTGAGTAATTTTAATTTTCAGCGGACAAAAACCTTGCACCAGAAAATTTCATGCATATTGCATCCTTTTTTACACTTTTCAAGGGCTATAGCTGTAATAAGTTATATGAAATAACTCCGAAGAAAAGGTTCTTATAGGAGCCTGAAAAAAAAAACTTCAAAAGCTTCAAATTTCACAACATGAAATCTTATGCATGATGGTTTTACCTGCGTTTTCTCAATGCTTTGAAATTTGAAATTTATTTTCTCGTGCTCCCACAAGAAATTGTCTTTGGTGTTATTACAGATAATTAATTATACCTATAGCCCTTGAAAAGTGTAAAAAAGAATGCGATATAGCTTAAAATATTCTGGTTCAAGATTTTTGTCCACTGAAAATAAAATAATTTTATTTTTACACTGCACTCGATAATTTCCTGATGGATTCCGTCTTAACCTTTTGCTCCTAGACCAAGTTATGGCAGATTATTATTTGTCACTGTAATGTTCAAATCTATGGATGAAATCATGTGGTGTTACCATTCAAACAAAACCTCTTTTGCAGAAACTTGGAATAGTCCTACAGTTCAAAGCCCATTTTAGGGACACCTGCTTAATACGGACACCTCATTATTATGGACAGTTTTCTTTGTCCCTGGGGAAAAAGCCTGACATTGATTTTCCTCTACATTCAATCCATTTAACACAGACACCACATTAATACAGACATTTTCTATGGTCAATTCAGTGTCTATATTAAAGGTGTCTAACTGTATTTATTTCTTTTGGATTTTTAATTTTTGTGATTTTTTTACATTGGCCTACTGTGGTACTTATTATTCAGATATTTACCTTAGACACAAAGTGACTGGCTACATCAACAGGATCATCTTCTAGTTCTTCTAGCTCAGCTAGAAAAGTTCTTCAAAACAAAGGAAAGTTGTAAAACACTACGTATGCAACCTTAGTATTTATTATAATCACTATTATCTTAGTTTAATGACTCTATATAATTTGGATATGAATATAGATTAAGAGATCAGATACAACGTCCTTTCATTGATGTTGTCTCATGCAAAGACAATTTCAATAAGTGGCGCTGCATTAAAAAAAAACAAAGTTGATGTTGGACACCACCAGGGCCCGGTTGTTCAAAAGGTGAACAACGCTATCCACCGGATAAATCACGATCCAGTGGAGAGCACAATTGGTTTCCCTAATACTTATCCGCTCGATAGTGATTTACTCGGTGGATAGTACTATCCAGCTTTTGAGCAACTGGGGCCTGATCTAGATGTGCTCAGTAACACTATGCAGAAAAATCCAAAATTTAGTTGAATCAATCAATCAATACCTTTATAAAAGTGCCAAACTAACATAGCAGTAGAGGAACCACTGAATGGGGACATTAACAATAAAAATTATTGTATCATTATTGACCTTAAGACCGAACTGTAAAATTTATAAGATTACATGAGTATAATTACTGAATTAAATAATAATAATAATAATGGGTCATTATAGCCAGAATCAGAAACAGCTAAAAAAGTAGTCCCAAATTTTTGGTGGGAATTACTAAAAATGACTTTTGCATCTTTCATCTAGAAATTTTGGGATGTCTGGCTCAACTAGTAAGCATGTCCACCAACAGGGGCGGATCCAGGATTTTTTCTAGGAGGGGGTGCACTCGTCTCTTGCTCTACTTCAACACCAATAAACCACAGAGTTTTTTTTTTTGGCAGAATACCAGTTGTATTAGAAAACCGCAGGTCATCTCAGGGGGGGTGCGCACCCCCTGCACCCTCCCCCTAGATCCGCCACTGACCAACCCAGCAATTCGGCCTTAAACTTACTTGTTAAACTCATATATTTCTTCAATATTCATAAATAACTCTTTCACATCTTGCTTAGAAAATGGGGAATTCTTCTTTCTCATTTTCTTCAAATAACCCTAGAAAATAAATCACAACAGAGAATAGATCAATTTAATATTAATAAGTATTAAGTACATGTATTTAATACTAAAAAGTAATTTACTATTTGGAGGAATTGCAGTAGTGTAAATCCTCTATTAAGCTTCCTGGGGGGCTTATTTATTTCAAACACATTTTTGAAGGGGGGCTTAAGACAGATGGGGGGGTATTCAGTTTAGCAAAAAAGATGGCATCAGTTCTTCATAAAGAACTACAATGCAAAGTGGAAAAGCTCAAGTACAGGAAGCTTTAGGTCATGCAGCCCAGGATCCAAGACAAATCCGAACATCCAGCTTGTGAATAAACCATCCTGGATCAGTCCACAAGAAGTTTTAGAGTAACAATAGACTCCTGACAGACATGATTGATAATTAATACAGTCTATCATTTGTCAGTGAATAATAATAAAGGGAAGGGAAGGAGGTCTTAAAAGAGGGGGGCTAACTTTCTTTCCCTGAAAAGGGAGGGCTTATTAGAGATGGGGACTTAAAAGAGGATTTGTGGTAATTACGAGTTAAATGAACTGAAAATTCCCACCTCAATAATATCATGTAAGTGTTGAACATAAGCTCTCTCAGTTGACAAAATTTCCTGAACAACTCTCTCAGTATGACTGGCAGCCGAACCAGTAGAAATGCGGTTCATGTTCAGATCCAGGCCTTGCAAACTTAATGACCCAGACTGTATAAACTCATCAGAGTAAGTTGAAGGTGTTCTCTCGCCAGAATGGGTGGATGCCGTACACAGACTCGGTGATCCATCAGCTTCGAATGCTTTCTTTAGGGAAGCAATATTGGATTCATCAGATTCATTTCCTGACTGTGGAGAATCCTTGTAAATAATTTCAACTTTTGGTGTTGACGCTTTCTTCTTCTCGTTGGGCTGTGCTGTCCCAGCCTCGGCCACCTGATTTTTTTCAAGGGTGTTTCGACGAAAAAACCTCTTGGAAGTCTTTTTTGGCGATAAAATTCCATTTGATTTGGTACTTGTGTGCCCATTTGATATTCGCTGAGGGGACCCTGCTCTCTTGGCACGCACACTAAAAGGCTCTGCTCCACCAGACTGAGGAAGATGTGTTATGGGAGACATTGCTAAATAGAAAATTGACATGAAATTAAAATGAATCAATTTATGACAAGTTAGTCTAGGATAAAGCTCAATAGGGGTTGCTGATAAATGTAATTACTTGCCAGGCAGCAAGAGAAATTTGAAATTAAATTCACTTGCCAACACAATGCAGAAAGAAAAAATATTCTAATGCTTAACAGGGTCTTCCAGGGCTTTCGTCTGAAACCAATGCATATCCTGGGTAAGGATATGGGTTGCTACTTGCTACTTTTGTGATACGCTTGCAACAGTGAAAATTTATCAGTACTTTTGGAGGTCTCTACTGAGGGAGGTGGGGGTTGTTACTTTCACGACTTAAAGTCAGTACACAGGCCTATAGTTTTTTGCACAGGGGCACTGATCCTTGTATCTAACTGGCATTACATGTTTAAATGATTTTGCCTTAGAAGGGTGATCCTTACTGAAATCTCAAAACATTCAAACATTACCGATTCTGTCTGACTTACTAAATTTAATCATTCATAACCTTTTTACCACTAGACCACAGTGAATGCGATTGTTGGTCACTCAAAACTAACTTTTAAATCATTGGATGAAATCCTACCGCTTTAACATTCAGAATGAAACATGTTTGGCAGAACTTTAGCACAATGCCATGTCTTCCGATTTTGTAGAATAAAAATTTAATCATGTCTTTTAAAGGAACTAACAGACGTGATAGGGTTAAATACCTCTATTTGTAACCTTGTCTAGAGAGCTTGAAACTTGGACGGACATCTTTTGTGACACATGGTACTATGATCTGCAACAATGAAAAGAAAGATTGTACAGTAATTATTATTGCTTTTCCAAACATCAAAACTTTCACACCAAGGTGAGCCGAAGAGATGGAAGTTTGAATGTTACCCAAGTCATCACAAGCCTCCATTAACTACATGACCCATACATTCTGATAAGCAAAGTAGATGGCATTTGAGCATTCATAGAATATTGCCTTGATTATCATTTTCACATTCATTGATCAGAATTTTATGTGTCTCAAATTGCGACTTACTTCAGCAAGGCCATGTGCCTACTTGAAAAGTTACTGCATAAACATTCATGTACACAGTATATCTATGACACTGCACGCATGGAAATGCCTTTGATTATTTCACACGATAGAAACAAATATTATAAGTGCACAGTATTTTTGAGCTTATTATCTAAACAAAAGAAGATTAATTAAACATACAGTCTACTGGGGGATACAAAAGGAAGTGCGTGAACTCTTTTTTAATATTATTAACCTGGCCAGCGAATAAGGATGTAGCCAATTCAACTGCTTAAAAACATTTGGAAACTAGGAAGTCATTTTGATAGAGTTAATTGTTTGGTTTGAGTGAATTTAGACTTGCGTGTTATTGACAATAAGCAGATTCTATTAAACTTATACTTTCTAGTTTTTTCTTGTATCACAAGGCCATCAAAATGTGACAGAAGAAGATTAAAGATAAGAATACTTAATGGACACCTTTTAATTCAGGTTATTACTCTTGAAAAATTAAGCACAAATTCAAGCATGAACACAGACATAATGGTGTTAAAATGCCGACAACAAAAAAGTTGATAAAAGAGAAAACAAGTAAAGCAAAACTCAAAATGTACAAAGATAAAACATGTCACTTTTTCTTGTAAAAAAGCTGTTTACACCGGTAATTCTCACATTTCATTATATGTTAGCTTTGGCGTCTTATGCCTCGACTAAAATAATCCTGTTAAACACCAATACTGATGGTGATCAGTATTAAATTTCTGCTCATAAATACAAAAGGTCACAAGAATCAAAAAGGAGATCACCCATCATGAATTCTCTAAGGACAAATTCAGTAAGCAAACTTTTATTAAGCGAAACTTGAATCGAAATCAGGGTCTGCCCACGATGAAAAGATATTAAGGCCACCAATTTAGGTGCTGTCTTTAACTAGTTAATTTTATTGTACCAGCTGTTTGAGGGAGAAAATATACCGGTAATTCAAAACTTCAAAATCCCCCTACCCCTGGGGAAGAAACAGGCATTCGACTATCACTTGTACCTGGGGAGTACCCAGGAATTTGACCTTTGCCTGGGTGGGGTGGGGAATTTGAACCAGAAGTGTCAAGTTTCACTTTGTCTGCTGTCTGACAGGAACAAGAATCCATAGACATGCGATCTTTCTCATAGTGAGATCAAGGAAGGCAAAAGCACAGCATTTGTAAATGAATGGTTTATTCGACAAGGACTCCAAGCGCGACAAGCATGCAACATTTTTCAGGTAATGTATGAAAATGAGAGTGTGTTCAATGTAGTTATTATTTTGAACATGACTCCAAGCCAAGCATTGCTGTCTAGTTGACTCTGTCAAGCAATTTCCTGTAGTCCTCCAGGTGAAAACTTCAGAAAATTTGATTTCAACATCTCTTGCAAAGTTATAAAACTCCTTACTAAAAATTATTTTTAAATAACTGGATATATCAGGTACATGTAATTACAGGTTGGTACTTGAGATAAGATACACAATGTTTACAGTCATTAGGAAGAAATTGAAAACTGGGTTTCATGGTTTTTGTCTAACATCCTAATTTCTTTTCAAAGGAAAAAGGAAAGAGTCGTGTCTGATAGCCCAGGGCTAGTGGATTTTCCAATCAGGCTAATGAATTAAGTTCTTAACTTGTCTGATGGGTCTGACAAGTTTTTTGGGGAGAATCCAAATTTCAGGAGTACTGTAAGACAGTAGTTATGAAAATCGAAACTGGTTTATCAAGCAGATTTAATGAAGAGAAACTATTACACTTATTAATACAGTAAATTAGTTAAGCAAGAAACTGAATAACCATTACAATGGTACAATTAATTAATAAATAATTTTTATTATGTTTTCTCAATCAAAAGCCCCCAACTTTAAAAGATTTAACAGACCTTCTAGTCACGAATAGGGTGAAGAAGAGGTTGGAAGAGTACGATTTTCTTGCCTGACCCCAATCTGAAAAATTTTCAAACTTCCTCAACTTCACAACTTTTCATTTCACAATTCTCTGGGCAAGCTGTAGCTAGCATGTGCATGTAGTAGCCCGAAAGTCATTTTAACCAGCTCAATAATTATTTTCACAAGCCTGATTAATAATTTTTTAGTTATAATGCCTCTGATTCCAATCTCCGGTTCCTCTGTCTCTTGTTGTCGGCATTGCCTTCGCTGTGCTAAGTTTGAGAATTTTTCAGATTGGGGTCAGGCGAGAAAATCGTACTCTTCCAACCTCTTCTTCACCTTATTCTTGACTAGAAGGACTGTTAAATCTCATAAAAGCTGGGGGCTTTTAATTGAGCAAACATAATAAAAATTGATGTAGCTGAGATGTTGACACCCTATTATTTTTTTAAACAAATTCACAGACATGACAGATCTTGTTTGTGCATAAAAAGCTTTTGTGATTTTTATCAGATTCAAAAGTGTAACAAGCAAAACTAGGATTTTTTGTTGTTGAATTTACTCATTCCTGTGAACATTACAAATCAGGTGAAAAATGTGGTCGAGACACAATCTGGGTGGTTTCAGGGTCAAAATTTATTAAGGCCTTCAGAGTACAATTTAGTTGAATTTTTTTGTGTTTTTCTTTTAATTTTCAAAGAATGAAATTATGTACTGTCACACCCATTATTAAAAAAATTTGAGACACGGTGAACATTTGATGAATCCCAGATTTTGAAACAAAAGAAATAAATACAGCTGAGGTTCTTTTGCTCAATAAATTTTACTTTTAGTGAAAGTGCTCAGATCTGGGCGCTTAGGGCAAAAACCATAACAAATCCTACATAAGTAAAAAATGTACAACAGTCAATCAACAATTCAATGGACCACCACCAGATAAAGATCTGTGTGGTTTTATTGTTTAAAGTGAAAATCCCTGTCAACTTCCGACATCTGGTTATAAGATGCGGATGTGAGATGTTTTTGTTTTACATATTTTCTTAGAAAAATCCTTCAGATATTAGCTTGAATTTGGAGGTCTTTTGGTACAACATAAGAGAAGAGGATAAAGAATAATTCAGGGTGAAAAAAACTGATCTAGCAAATGCCACTCAATCTTATAGAAGAATTCTTCCTGGAGTAAATTTATCTTTTAAATAGACTTAAAATATTATAAACTATACTTAAAAATAAAGTGATCCATAAGGCTACTATGATAGCTACAAGGGATTCACGCTCATAGCTCATGCTTCAATATGTTACAGCTTTATTCTGCCGTGAAATCCTGTGCCCCTAAAACAGGAAGAAGCTCTATTCAGGAATCCCCCTCACATTGACTGTACTGCGAGGAAAACATATTTTTATAAATATCCAAATTCACGGCTGGAAATTTTATAACACTGGAATCAAATATCCAAACTTAAATCCACAAGCACTTCTCTAATACAAAGGTTTTACAAAACAGTTCAGAGTTCTGATCTGACAGAACAGATCAATTACTTATGCTGACCTTGGCACAAGTCACAAAGACAATCAGTGAATTTTACCAGACATTGCTGCGCTACATCTGTTACAGAAACAGATGGCTGAATATCGTATCTTTCTACAGAGTAAACCCTATTTTCACAAAGTAAATAAAGTATTAATCATGTAAATAAATTCAGGATATGCAGCAGGGAACAAAGCTGATTTCAAGGAGCCATTTGTTTTCAGTAACAATAGATCTGAGGTCATCAAAAAACAAAGCTTCGAGCAAAGGTTACCTTGTTCTGTCAGCAAAGCGACCAATAGTCATCACTGACCAACAGAGATAAAAATTGAGACGAAAAAGATGCGTTCAGGTTCCAAGATTTAACCTACAACTTTGTGTACAGATAACCACAAATTGCCTCGTAATTAAATTTCGACGTATCAAAACCCTCTTGTATCGACAGAAACTAAAACAGACAATGCAATATATCATTTTCGCTTGAATGGTTTTACACTGAACTTGTTAACTTTCAAAAAAAAATAAGATTGATCAAGGATAAGGTTTCTTACATTTCGCAACCGTGATTAATTTACAAAACACTTTTTAATAAGATCTGGTTAGCAGGACACGGTGCCGTTGTTGAAAATGTCCGAGGGTGCATGTTAAGAAACAATTAATTTAAAACCCGGTGATTTCGTACAATCGTTCACATTTAGTTTAGAATGAATATTAAATTTTCGATCTTAAAATTACCGGCGATTTTTTTTGTTATGATCGCGCGCCACTTGCCAGTTTCACACGAAATCGACAAGATGCGTCACTGAACGCAAATTCACCGCTCAGCTATCAAGAAAGATTTATGATTTATTGCTTTATTATTATACAGCCACTTAATTCAATGCATTGCAAAGTACAAAATATTTTCAGAAGAAAGATTATTGATTTTTGCAGCACACAGTGGGATGCCTTTGGACTGTGCTTTTCCTTGCAAAAAATTCTATCACCCCTAGCTACCTTACAAAAACCACAATTCATAATACACAAAGATCTACAGACTCTACGGCTATGTAGGAAACTCTATGCGGTTTTTTATTGTTCTTGCCATTTCCTGAGCGATAGGAAACTACAGGAAAAATGGGCGAGAGTATTTTGACAACCTCCGGTATGACCCAAAACACACAGAAGGTGTCTATAATTCACAAGGTATACAAAAACTCTGTCACCGAAGGAATGTGCTGGATCGCTTACTCTGAGCTTTTTCCACTTCGTAACACTCAAAAACAAGCCCTTGCAATATCAAAAATTCAAACAAATGCAAACAT